GTGGAAGATTGGACCGTATCCACCCATTCATCGCCATGGGAGGGTGCACCTTTATACTAGAAACATTTTTTGTTGTTCCTAATCACAGCTTTGAATATTTTAATACTATATAGTTTGATTAGTGGCCGACAAAACCAGCGAGTTGATAGAACACGAAATCCAAAGAAAATTGACTAGTTGGAAATTTTCTCATTTTGTATTTGCTTGGATTATGCCGAAAAAAAAAAAAGATTATCTTATGAATTAACCCACCTGCATACTCTGTTTCGATTCCTTTCAAACTTTCGACATTTCGTCTTTACATTAATATAAGAGTAGTTGGCACGATGCCAAAGAAACAAAGGAAAAAAAAAAAAAGAGTAGGTATGATCACATTGATTCATTCATACACCAGACATTAAGCAAATACTAAGCATCTTTTGACGGGTCTTTGTATATTATTAAACTCTGTGATGAAGTCTTGTTTAATCTGCTATATATATTTTATGCGTGAGGTCATAAGCATCTTTTGATACTTTTTTTCTTACAAATACTATTTGATTAATAAAAGATTACTTGATCCCACGTTTCTCCTAGCACATGCAATCCTTGAAGTTGTTGCATGACTTGCGATTTTGACCGCCGCTAGTTGAATGAACAACACAAGTAGAACTTTTGCACATTGAAAAGCGAATAACACGTGTTTTTCCGATATACGACCTGACTAAGTTTGTCTGTTTGTTTAAAAGTTTGTAAAATCTCGTGTTTAGTTCTGTTGTGTTCAGTACTGTGCAATTTACAGTAAAATTGAAGAAGGAAAGCAGAACTTTGGATTGTATTTCGCTGGAGAAGGGACTCTCGGATGTCCCTGTACATGAAAATGTTGAGAGCTTCAAAAGCTACCAGTGGAGACCAAAAGAAGCTGCTGCAGTAAATTTTACTGAAAATGGAGAAGATTCGGAACCCTTTGTAATGTTCTTGAGAGATATTTTCAGAGATGATAAGAAAGTTGTTTGATCTTATTGTTGAATTTGAACATCTAAGTTATGTAATATCTATCCAATCCTACGATGAGTAATACAATGCCTAATGTGAAGCTAGATAGAAATATACATGAACTTAGAACACTTGAAGCCTCTAAACTCGATTCTGCCTTGTTATTTCTCTTCTATCGTCTCCATCAACCTCTGGTGATAAACCCTGAATTGATTATATATCATATAAATTGTGAAGAATATAGTTGTATTACAACCACAAGATATATAACTACTGCCATGTTTCTGCCTTTAACTGTACAACCATATGTATGTTATCTATCAATATGTCTGGCCAAAGCTTCTGTCCTCTCTCTTTCGTCTGGAAAGAAAACAGAGGGAATTTGTCTACCTGAGAGAGAAAAATTTCATCATATTCTTCATAACTCTGATGTTAGACAGATTCTCCTGTTTTCTCTGTTTTACTCTATTACAGATAGTCTCTCTCTCACCATTTTATCCCTTCAGGCCTCAAGATCCTTGTGAACATTCGGCTGTATATCCGGAAAAATGAAACTATCTTCTCCATGAACGTTCAAGATTCTTACACCGCATCCCGTTATTTTTAACTTTGGAGAATCATATATATTCCACTCTTTCCCATTCCGCATTGTCAAAAATCTGTTCATCAATAATTTCAAAGACAAACAGAAGCTCGCTACATGTGACCATTACTTCAGGATCATTGCCTTGTTCCAGGGAGAAAGACGCCTCGAAAGTAAGCAGATGATCTGTTACAAGTTTATTCATGGAAAAATGGCACACATCTTCACCTAAGGGGCCTTTGCGTTTGTCCGAAACGCACCAAGACACTCCGAAACTCGTTGTGCTAAAGTAAGGGGCCAGCAAAATGCAAGCCTTGACTCGCAAGGATTTAGGAATAGCCATACCATCGTGATGATAATCCTGCTTCCAAAGATATTCACCCAACGCTGTAATAAAAATCACATTCATTTCCTAATGGACCAAAGTGGGAGAAGAATCACTTTGGCCAATGAGCTCAAATCTCATGCTGCAGAATACTTTCAAGAGATAACTGGTCAAACGGCTATGCCACAATCTCCTTTCCTTGCTGATTTGCTCCCTTTCAAGTGTTCTGATCTTCACAAGTTGGACCTACAGAAACCTGTTACTGAAGATGAGATCATGGCCACTGTTTTTGCTATGCCT